AAAAAAAAAAAAAAAAAAATAACGTAAAGGAGTGTGCAATCATGGCAGAAAAATGGCTCAGGGCTTCATAGATTTCCACAAGGAACAAACAGAACCCAAAATAATGATTTCTGGCTGAGGCCAATGGGGGTGAACTTTTAGGGTTTAAGAGTCATAGCGAGTGCCATGTTGGAGACTTGGGAGCCCAAGCGAAGTGGAGGCTCTGAGGGAGTCCTATGAGTTCTACTTGTAGTCACAGATGTTGTCATATTCAGTGATGACACCTGACTAGCTCCAGGAGGCATGATCTTAAAAGTGTGGGCCAAGGCAGGTCACCTGACTTCATTCCTTGTCCTGCTACAAACTTGCTCTTCTACTTGTCACCCCCACATCACTTCCCTAGATGGGAACAGCTCCAGGAACTAGGAGAAGGAGAATCTAAGGGCAGGAAGGACATGGGAGGTCATAAATTGACCTCATTGCAATCCAACATCCAAGACTCAGAGGCACAACCCAAGTGGTAGAAACCAAAAGGTCTTTTATTGACTTGTTAACATGTTTCCTGTGAGGTTGCTTGGGTTCAAGAGTTGTAGACAGTCATAGAGCTGATCTCGTCAGCCAGGACCATCATGTCGGACAGCAGGGACTCTAGCAGCCCATAGACCTAGAAGAATGGAACAGACACCACACACAAAAATTTGTTATACCGCAGGTACCTACATGTCGTCTGGCTACAAGAAAGTAAACAGAGGGCTGATGTGGTGGTGAGTACCTGTGATCCCAGGTACATAGGAGCCCATGAGTAGGAAAAATGCAAGACCTTTCCTGAAAAATAACTAAAGCAAAAAAGGGATGGAGGTTGGGTATTGGTGGCTCACACCTGTAATCCTGGCTACTCAAGAGGCTGAAATCTGAGGATTGAAGCTAGCCCAGGAGCAGGAAAGTCTGTGAGACTCTTTTTGTTCTGTTCTGTTTGTTTGTTTATGTGGGACCAAGGAATTGAACTCAGGGGTTCATGCATTCCAGGCAAGCACTGTACCTCTACGCTACGTTCCCAGTCCCACGTGAGTCTCTGATTTCACCCAGAAGTAGAGTGCTAGCCTTGAGCACAAAGAAACTCAGGGACAGTGCCCAGGTCCCAAGTTCAAGCCCCAGGACCAGAAAAAAAGGAAAGAAAAGAAAGCCTTTGTAAGTGTGATGCCCTTATTTCAAAATCTCAAGCACCACAAAAGGAGAAAGAAAAAAAAACAAAAACAAAAAAACAAAAAACAGGAGATGAGGGAACCAAAGTTGTACTTGTGTTTTTGTAAATAGTTATATTTTTCAGACCTGGGTGAGACTGGGCTCAGTCCCAATTCTACTCTTGGCTTACCAGCCATCTGCCCTTCCTGTAAGATCATAGATCCATACACTGGAAGGTCTCCAAGACAGAGCCCTCCAATGGGGTTAGACCACACAAGCCTGAGCAAATTGATTCAGAGTATCCTACAGCCAAGGAACAGCTTATACTCTGAGCCCTTTATTTACTCTCTAGACCCCATCAAGCATCAGAAAGTTTGGTGATGTCACCAGCAGCAAATGGAACTTCTGATCAAGCAAAATCTGGAGTGTTACCATATGCACCATGATATAATCCAGCTCCCCAACTGCCCACATCCAAGAGAGACAAATCCTCACCATTAGATACTCTGACACATCGAGTGTGGCTTTGTAAACCTCCCTTCTCCCTCTCCCAAAGCCACAGTATCAGAAGATAAAAACAAAAACCCTGTGTGAATCTCTAAGGACTGGTGCTTAAGAACAGAGCATGACGAAGTCTTTCCAGCCAGGCACCGGTGGCTTGCACCTATAACCTTAGCTACTCAGGAGGCTGAGATCTGAAGATCTATGAGACTCTTATCTCTAATCACAGAGAAAGTCTGAAGTGATGCTGTGGCTCAAGTAGTAAGACGCTAGCCTTGAGCAAAAAGGAACTCAAGGAAAGTGCCCCAGAACCAGTCAAAAAAAAAAAAAAAGAAGAAGAAGTCTTTCAGTGGATGCAAATTGGCTATCCTTTAAAGCCATTGGTCCCTTCTGATGCTCCCACTGAAATGCTCACAGTTGAGACATGGCGGGATCTCCAAGGATTGGTTCCATGCTTACAAAGAGATTCTAACTGGTTAGGAAGTAAGGCTCTTATCTTTCGCCCCTTTTTCACATGCCTACTTGCTCTTCTGCTTTCCACAGTTGAGTTGAAGCAGCACAAAGCCTTTCCCAGTGCCAGGCCTTTGGACTTCCTAGTCTCAAAATAAACTTCTTGCTTTTTAAATCACCCCATCTGTGGCATTTTGTTACAGCGACAGAAAGCTAAGACAACTCAATGTGTTCTTCTCCCAAGAAACACATCCCCAGAGTGAACATCACAAGGAGAGGTGGAAACAGCAGAAAGGAAAGGACTTCTTCCTCTCTATTCCCTGAGATTCTGTTTTCCGCACGGCAGCCAGAGTACTTCTTAAGAACTTAAGTAGACCCATGTCACTCCTCCATGCCAAATCTACGTGATTTTTCAGCTCACAGAGAAAACCTCACATGGCCACCCACATGCCTTGTCTGCAGCTGCTCTTTCTTCCCACTAAGTGAGCTTCCTTTCTCCTCTGTATATTGCTCCCCCAGCCTCAGGCTCTCTCCCTGGCCACCCTCCATCTCTCCTCAAGTTTCTGAATGATGGTCCACTGACGAAACAGGGCACACACTGGTGGGATAAGTGGAATGAATGGGGCAAGGGTTCACCTCTGTGTACAGCCGTCGGATGTACTTCTCCATGACCTGGGGATCCGTTGGCTCCTGGGAAGATGTGGTCGTGTCCATTGCTGCAGGATCTTCTGAGGCAAGCCTGTCTCGACTTGAAGTTTTGATTACTTTCTTTTCGTCTTTGGCCTTCTGCTTCTTACTATTGAGCCGGTCCTGCTTGGAGAGATGGACAGACACAGCCTTCAGTGGTTCCAGGGCAGTTTCTCTCCCCAGTAGCTCTCTGGGAGAGCTGGCCTTTGAGCTGCCTACCTTTCCCAGCCCAACCCAGGGCTAGGAACCCAACCATGTCCCAGCATGCCTCTTTCCCTGGTGTCTTGAGTCCTTTTTTGTCATCTTTCTCTCTGACTCCCAATTGCTTCTTTTCTTGGGCTGCTCCTTTTCGTTCTTCTTTCCCAACTTTCACGGTTGGTGTTTTGGCTTCTGAAGTAGGAGATAATTTTCGACCTAAAGAAGATAAGTGGAAGACACATGTAGTAGGCTCCTGTGACTTTATGACAAGGCTGAGACAACATGGGATAATAAAAGGGAATGGCCTTAACCTGGCACTGGCTCAACACCTGCAAATCTACCTACTCAGGAGGCTGAGATCTGAGGATTTGCAGTTCAAAGACCCAGTATGGGCACACACAGGTGCATGTGTGTGTGCATGCACACACACACACATACACACACACACACACAAGGGCAATGGTTTTGAACCCTGTTCTCAGCAGACTCGGGAGAATTCCCACACATTGAGAGCAGAGGAGAGTCTTCAGCACCACAATGCTTACCTCAAGAACCCCATTTAAGCATCTGGATCAAGAGACCTAGGTTGTTGACCCAGTTCCACATATAGTCTCTGGGACTCTACTTTTGCAAGACAAGGAACTTCTCTACAATGGTCACAGAGGCAGCTTCTAGGTCTCAAATTCTGATAGAATGGTGACAAGGACCCACTCCATGGACTCAACCTGGCAGTGTCCACCACAGGAGGACAAATGGCAAAGGTACCAGAGGCATCAGGGCAGAGAGCTGGGGAAAATCACACGGAAATGTGCCCGAAGGATGACTGACCTGTCTCTTCTGGAACCTCCACATAGATGGTCTCCTTCTCAGGCAGGCCTAGCACAACCCTTAGCCATAGAGAATGGCCCACCATGCTGTCAATCATATCACGCCACAGTTGCAAACTAGAGAGCAAGACACATTGAAAAAGGCCATCATTCTTCATTTGTCCCTGAACATGCAGACACTCAGGTGTCTCAAAGACCCCAGTGCCAAGAACTCCCAGATTGCTATGAGGTCACCAAGTAGCCAGCACCCTCCCTAGCACCGTGTTAAGTGCTCAGATGGGAGTCTGGCTGCCCTGAAGCAATAACCAAGAAAAGATGGTCTAGGATGAGGGTTCGGAGGCCTGCATAAACTCAGTTCTACTTCAGCAGTCTAAACTCCAGCTTGGAGCCATGGCTCCAGTGCCACTGGAAGGCGTGAGCCTTGCATGAGCTTTCCTGCATGAGGCTCCAGGGAGGGGCCATGTTTGATGGGTTCCCACACCTATCCAAGCAAGTGCTAAATAGACAATGTTGACAAGAGAGACGCAACACATTTACTGAACCTGCCACTTGGTGTTCTTTACCTTCTCTTTTTGTCCTCATTCTTCATCTCAGTGAGAAGAGAAAGGGGGAAACATCCCTGCTTTGACTGTTGCCTTGAGGTTACAGCCAAATGGTGGGGGGGAGGGGAGAGGAGAAGAAGCAGATTCCAGAGTATGGCAAATTGAGCTCAAGTGGAGCTCAGCCCCTTGAGTCTTGGACTGCTAGTCCAGGATCTCTGCCCAGATACAACTCAACTGGGGTGCGGGGGGGGGCACCTACCACAGCTGGTGCAGGAGGTTGGACTGCAATGGCATCTGATCTTGGCACAGCTCCAGTGCTGCCTTGTTGAGCTGGGCTAGGGCACTTTCTCTCTGGTGCTCCTCAGGGAGTGTCATCACTGCCTAGTTAACAGTCATGGGCATCATGGATCACTAACTGTTCTACCCCAGGGCTCCAAGGGACCTCAGTGTCCTCCAGTGTCTGGCATAGTGACAAGGGGACAGGTAAATGAAGCAGAAACCAAGAGGCTGGGGTACACTCTGTGGTGGCCTGGGAGCTCCCCACCTATCAACCCCCTTCTCCAAGGTTTTCCAGAATCACGGAGGGAATCCTTCCTACAACCTATGAGCAAATTGGCCCCAAAGATCGTTTTCTTTGTTCTCTTAGAAGATTTGATCTCTTTATCCTTTGGTCAAAGGGAGCTTCTGGCTGGGCCCTTCCCTGTGGGTTCAGGGCCAGTTCACCACATCTTGCTGTTCAGTGCTACTTTCCACCAACCCCTTCTGAGTCTTGGAAGCATCTTTCTGGGAACTGGAAGCGTGTTTCAAGTGATAGAGCACCAGCCATGAGCTAAGAGCGCGAGACTCCAAGATCAAGCCCCAGTAATGGTACAAAAAAAAAAAAAAAAAGAAAAAGTTGGAGAAGGGGAAGAGGAAGAAGAAAATGAAGAGGAAGAAGAGGTAGGAGGAGGAGAGGAAGGAAGAAGGGAAAAGGAAAAAGAGGAGGAGGAGGAAAAGCAGCAGAAGGAGGGAGAAGAGGGGGAGGAGGGGGAGAAGGAAAAGGAGGGGGAGTACCTTTCTGAAGTCCACCAGACTGAGGTTCCACTCAGGCAGGGGCAGGCTGTCTGACTCCCAAGGGTTCCTGGTGTCCTCCAGTTCTGGGCTCTCCTCCACCAGGACCTCCTCTATGATGCTCCTCCGTTGAGAGAACCTGAGGTCTCCTCCATGCCTCTGGGGCAGGGAAGAATCCCGGGAGTCCCTGTAGCCATCACGCTCCTGCTGAGATGGCTCCATGAGAAGGCTCCTAATGTGGGCCAGGTGCTCAGCTGGGCTCTTCTTTCCCTTATAGGCTGTTGGAGCTGTGGTGCCACGGGCCTTGGGGCTCAGGTGCTCATCCTGGTTTAGCCGGAGGTCTTGGGCTTTGAAGGGCAGGATTATATACTCATGCCACAACTGGTGCAAATTTTGTATCACTTGATGCTTGTAATACAACTGCAGCAGAGGTTAAGAGGCAACAAGTAAGGGAGAGGCTGGCCAGGCACCCTGGGCCCATGCCAGTCAGCTGGGGTTTCTCCCACTGCCTTGAGTAGGAGGCAGAAAGGAAGCCAATGGCCAGAGGGACTCACCCATTTCCCCTTCAACCTAAGCATATCCCATTTAAAACTGGGCCTCCAGAAAAGATGGGTTGGAGTGGAGGAGTTATGACATTTTGTCTATTCCCATTCAGTATCAGCTTGCTAAACAGCAACTTGGGCACAATAATGGCTGCTGTTAATGTGGACAGAAACAGAAAGGATGTGTCACTGGACTGCTCTGAAGAGAAAGTAAGTTACTCATAAAAGTCCTGGCACATGGGGCTGGGAAGGTAGCTCAGTGGTAGAGCGCTTGCCTTGCATGCCTGAGGCCCTGGGTTTGATTCCTCAGCACCACATAAGCAAAAAGAAAAAGGCCGGAAGTGGCGCTGTGGCTCAAGTGGTAGAGCGCTAGCCTTGAGCTGAAGAGCTGAGGGACAGTGCCCAGGCCCAGAGTTCAGGCCCCACGACTGGACCCAAAAAAAAAAAAAAAAAGTCCTGGCACATAGGATGGTCTGCTACTACAGTCACCGAGAACAACATGGAGTGCCTGGCCTGTACCTGGGGATGCTTGTGCTGAAATAATTGCTCCTCTGTGAGACAGGCATCCACGGGGGATGGTGTGCGCTCTGGGGACAAGACCCCCCTCAGAATCTCCTCCAGCATACTCTTTGCAACGGTGACTGCCTCTTGGGCATTCAGCTCGTTCTGGAGAAGGGAAAGTGATACCAGATGGCAGCCCAATCTCTCAGCTCCCATGTAGTCCCTTCCAGATGAGGCTTTCCTGTCCTCATCTGTCTGTCTGTCTCTGTCTGTCTCTCTCTCTGTCTCTGTCTGTCTGTCTGTCTCTCTCCCCCCCCTCTCTCTATATATATATTACTTATCCACACACAGCTATTCTAAGACTCAAAAAACCTCTGGGTCTGTCAAAATATCCTAGTTCCCTAAAAGAGGAATGAGAAGATGGAGACACCAGTCTGATGGGACAGTGTTCGTGCACTGGGTTTGCATTTCCCCTAGATGAGGAAGACAGGGCAGGGGCCAGGGAACACACTTGGGCACCATGCAGTCGGGATCCCAGAAACCCAGTAGAAGAACATTTTTTTATGCATCTCTCCGTTAGTCAGCAAGTAGAGCAAACCTGACATGTCACCACTTTGCCCACTGAAATAGGTAGCTGGGTCTGCAGGGCCACAGGGACCACAAAAGCACAGCTTTCCATAGAATCTCAAGAACCACAGCAAGAAATGACCACACCAAGACTAATTGGGGGATGTGGGCAGTAGATTCCCAGGTCCCACCTCACACTCAGTCCAGGGCATTGGCTTACCAAGTGGGCTGGGGAAATATGCTATTGGAAATCGTATCTGGTTTGAAAACCTTGTCAGTCAAATACTGTTCCACTTGTACAGTATCAGATAACAGTGAACAAACCAAGGGCACCATAAAGGAGTCACATGATCCGATTGGACTCTGTAAGTACTTCCACAGACTCTGCACCCTGGGGCTCTGAGGCTCATTTCTTTCTAACTTAATGGGCATTAAACACAGTGGGCTGGCATGCTGTCCTGCACTAGCCCCGCCCCACCTGCCTACATCACAAAGCCCGGAGAGGTGTTTGTTGAGTAATAGTAGTCACCTGTTGGTGAAATATTCACCGTGTGTGTGTGTGTGTGTGTGTGTGTGTGTGTGTGCATGTGCGTGTGCACGCATGTACACACTTGGGCTAGAAGAAATAAGATCCCCACCGGCAGGCAGTTCCAGAAAGAACACCAGGATAGCATATCTTGTGTCCTCAGCGAATTAGGTTCTGGGTCCCTTACCTCCAGCGACAACCTCTCCTCCCTAAAAATGTCCTGGGCCAGGGAGACTGCGAGAAGGTTGACCTGCAGGATAGAACCTCCCAGAAGGGTAGGGTGGGTTCCAAACTCCCAGGATTCCCTAAAGACCCCAGCATTCACTGACTTGAAGAAGAAGGTAAACTTTTTCATTTCTCCAGGCAAAATTACACCTGTGAGGGACAAAAGGCAGAGGTTTTCAATCGGTAGGAGCTAGCTGAGCCCTGCAAAGTTCACTGAGCCCCAGAGTTAGTTCACTAAGTTTCATTATGGCCTAGGTCTGGTGACCAGCCATCCTAGTTTACCTAGTTTGGAATGTGTGACTTTGAATGCCAACAAGGGTGGTTGGTCAGTCTAGGCCCTGGGTCTGTGCACATAGAACATTTCTACAATCTGGTCGGGGAGTGGGGGGAGGGAAGGGGGGAGGTTCTTCACCTGTGTTCTCAAGAGTTTATCATTCTCCCAATACATAGAACACATATTTCAGAAGAAATGTGGGGGGAGGGTCAGGACCAGGAGATAAAGGGCTTAAAACTTGCAAGAGCTGTCGTTAATTAGCAGATCTCATCTCCCAGACACAGAAAGACAAAAAAAACAGGAGCTGGATCAAGAAGAGGGCAGCTTGCAGTACCTTCCCGGTTGTTGAAGTAAAATCTCTGCATCCTATTTCTCTTCAGGTCTTGGAAACAGTCCATCTGTGGCTGTCGTCGCCAGTCGTACCAAATGGCCACAGTGCCATTGTTGACCACGGTCAGTTCTGAAGATGTTTTCTCCCCTTCAAGATTTTCGAAAGTCAAGCGAACAGCAATTCCAACATTCCTCTGGGAAAGGGCAGGTATGAGAACCATCTAGGCTGGAGGTCCTGCCCTAAGGTAAACCAACTCATCCTAGTTTGCCTGGGACTTCTTTGGGTTTTGTACTAGAAGTCTCCAGGTCCTGGCCACCTTCCAAGTGCTTTAGAACTTCAATAGTGTGTGCCTCTGAGGTTACCATCAATAGTGAGAAATATATGTTATACATACACAATAAACATTTCTTTTTCTTTCTTTTTTTCTTAACAAGTCCTAGGTCTTGAACTCAGGGTCTGGGTACTGTTCCTTAGCTTTATTGCTCAAGGCTGGTGCTCTACCACTTGAGTCACAGCTTCACTTCAGGCTTTGTGGTCATTAATTGGAGATGAGAGACTCCAGACTTTCCTGCCTGGGCTGGCTTTGAACCTTAATCCTCAGAGTTCAGCTTCCTGAGTAGTTAGGATTACAGGTGTGAGCCACCAGTTCCCAGACCCAATGAACATTTCTGCTTCTCAGCATCTGCAGAATATACTTCAGCATCATCCTAAGACCCTAACTGCATGCAAGAGTTTGCTAGTTGCCTTCTTGTGGGGAGGAGGAATCCTAGATATGAAGTAGCTTGTGACATTCTCTTTGCAATCTTATGATTTTATTCTTGCTCAAGTCAGTGTTGCTTGTTACCATTTTCAGACACGCTCAATGTGTGACCAGATAAAAACACAAATAGGAGATCATGCAGACTCCTTATGACTGCTACACCTCTTGGAGCTGCTCATGTGAGCTTGGAGCTGCAAGTAAGTGAGGTTGTTTACCTTGCCCTTTGGGTTACTGTTTCTGATCCAGACAGCAGGCTTCCCACAGAACATCAGAGAAGGGCCAAGAATAGGCATGGGGCCTGAATCAGGGTAACAGCTAAGTAAATCTCTGTAAGAAAAAAACAATAACTTAACTTCCCCATGGGCTGCATCATCTAGGCCACATGGAACCCATGGAAACTGTCATGATGGTTTAGAGCCATCACCAGCTCTGTCCAGCAGTGGTGTGTGACCCACCTGCTCCCGCTCAGCTTCTCCCCATCTATTCCTTGAGATGAGACCTCTGAGCTGTTAGGAACACAGCAGGAGTCACGGGAGAGTCCATTTAACTCATAAAACAACATGTGGAGGAAGCCCATTAGATACTGGTTGTTGGAAAAAGGCAGACAGTGATAGGAAAGCTAGCATGGTGCTGGAATGAGCTAGCACTAGAGGCTGGGATGGAACCCAGGCATTCAGGGAGGGAAGCCTGCCCAGGCTACACCCTCTAGGAGCTCTCTCTGGAGCACAGGCTCCACTCACATAGTATCTTCCGAGGAGGAGCTTTCTGCGTTCCTTTCAAACACTGAGTAATCGTCCACTGTTTGGGATGAGAAGGACTGCCCTTGGCCTACGACTTCCAGGCCATCAATATCCTCGGAGGGACAGGGATAGCAAAGATTAGTTGACTAGAAGCTGAAGATTTCCCACCCCAGGCATGAGAAGAGTGTTACTAACCTGCTGGCTGAAATCCAGCTCAGCCATGAGGTCCTTTAGCTCCTTGCGTCGGTAGATCAGAAACAGACTCCGGTCCCAGGTGTAGCGGTACCAAGCATCCTTCTTATCTAGTAATCCTAAAGTGGGAAGGGATCAGAAGACCCTCAGCACAGGCTGCTATTCCACCCCTCCGCACCTACTATCCAGGAGCCCTGAAAACAGCCTTCCTAATAGAGTTTCTGAGAATGATGATGAATCTAGCCTTTTCCCTGGGGCAGCTGGCTGCTCCTCATAACTCCTCAGCAGCTCCACACTGGACTCTTGGAAAATTACCTCCCAAACAGCCAAATCTTTGCAGTACCATCAAAATAACAATAGCAGCTGCCTACTGGTGGTTGATTAACAATAGATCAGAATATTTTAATACATAGCATGTCTCTTTTAACCCCCACTCATAACCCTGAGTAGTCCTCACCTGGGGAACTAAAGACCAGAAAGATCAAATATCTCACTGGAATTCAGAAAGTCACCTTAGCCAGGACCTGAGCCCAGATAAACTGGTGGGCTCTAAAGCCAAAATACAATGCCAACCATGAATACCAGTTCAAATTCTCTAGATACCAGGTTGAAATAGAAGAGGTGAGAGTCATTTTAATATTTGTCTAAGTCAGTACATCAAAATTATCATCTCACATGAATCAGTATAAAATGGATTGATAGACTATATCATACATATGATATATATAGATAGCTGCATCTATCTAACTATATGAGGCTTGAACTCAGAGCATGGGTGCTGTCCCTGGGCTTCTAGTGCTCAAGGCTAGCGCTCTACCACTTGAGCCACAGTGCCATTTCTGGCTTTTCTGAATAGTTTTATTTGATGATAGTCTTACAGATTTTCTTGCCCAGGCTGGCTTTGAACTTTGATCTTCAGATCTCAACCTCCTGATCCTCAGATCTCAGCCTCCTGAGTAGCTAGTATTACAGGTATAAGCCACCAGCACCCAGAAAGATATCTATCTATGTATCTATGTATCTATCTCTATCCAAATAGATATCTATATATAGATATATCTACTTTTTTGGTGCTTGAAATCAGAGCCTGGATACTATCCCTGAGCTTTTCCACAGGCTTATATTCTATCACTTCAGTCCCAACTCCACTTCTGCCTTTATGCAAGTAAGGAGATAAAAGTCTCGTGGAAGCTAGGCACTGGTGGCTCATGCCTGTAACCCTAGCTACTCAGGAGGCTGAGATCTGAGGATCATGGTTTAAAGCCAGCCCAGGCAGGAAAGGTTGTTCATCTCCAATTAACAACCAGAAAAAAGTGGATCTGTAGCTCAAAGTAGTAGAGCACTACTAGTCTTGAGCAAAAAGAGCTCAGCGACAGAGCTCTGGCTCTGAGTTCAAGCCCCATGACCAACAAAAGAAAAGTCTCATGGACTTTCTTGCCTAGACTGGCTTTGAAGCATGAGCCTCCAATCTCAGCTTCCTGAGTACCTTGTACTACAGGCATGAGCCACCAGCACCAGTCTAAACTTTAAAAAAAAACAAACAAAAAACACTAGTCTTTGAAGTCTCAGGTTTATACTAACTGGCCACTGGTCACACTACAGATATCAACGCTCAGAATTCCTCAATGGCCCAGTCTCCTACCCTGCCTTTCCTACCACTTCTGTTGCTGCTTTACAGAAGCCGGGACTGGACCTCTGGAAGGTCATTCACCCAAGGCCTCAACAAATCTGGCTTGGGTCCCAAGTTTGTCTCCCAGCAGAGCTATGCTACCACACAGATGTGCATCCTGCACAGGGCACAAGAAGCTAGTGGGCTGAAAGCCCCGTTCCTCACCTATCTCCATCTGGATGGAGCAGGGCTTCCTGATGTGAGTGATGGGCTCCACGAGGCCATACTGTGTCTTTGTCTTGGTCATGATTACACCTGTCATCTCATCGCCCAAGCATTCCAGTGGGCTCCAGAACCCAGCAGCGGTCTTGCAGCACTGGCAAGGAAGGACAAAGCAGTAGGTCATCTTAACACCTTGGCTAGAGGCTGGGAGGGGTCTGGGAAGACAAGAGTACCACTGACCACAGACACTTCCTTTGAGGAGCCATTCCCACCCTGGTGGTAGAAGCGAAGCACCCACTTACCCCCGTGTTCAGGATACCCCACTACAGCTTTTCCAGCCCCCAAACATGTCCATAACAGAACTGAGTGGAGGGTTTAACAATGTCTTTTTGCAATGGATAGATTCCCCAACTAGGCAACCTGAGGCAAGCCACCCTGCGCCAGGGCACCCATGCCAGGGCACTTAGGGGTCGAGTCCTCACTTTCTCATTATATTGCATTGGAAGTACTCTGCTAATGAGTTCCCGCTCCTCCTGGATCCGTCTGTAGGTCTCCCCACTATGCATCAGCAGATCATTCACAGGCTTGTTCAGATGCTCTAGAACAATGAGAGATAAAAATGCAGCTGTAAAGCTGGTACCAGTGACTCACTCCCATAATCCTAACTACTCAGGAGGCTGAGACCTGAGGATCAAGGCTCAAATCCAGACTAGGCAGAAAAGTCTGTTGAGACTCTTATCTCCAATTAATCACAGAAAACGCTGGAAGTGGTATTGTGGCTCAAGTGGTTGAGTGCTAGCCTTGAGCAAAAGGTACCCAGAGGCAGCATCCAGGCCTGGAGTTTAAGCCCCAGGACTGGCCAAAAAAAAAAAAAAGCAAGCCAAATGAGGTACAATGCTCTGATTTCATGCCCTAATATCAGCATTAAGAAGAAAAAGGGGAAAAAATGCAGCTAGCAGCCTACTCCCAGGCCTGATTTGGGACCTACTTAGCCTTGAGAGGAAGAAGCTCTTGGAAGTGATCAGCACAAATGTGGTCAGCTTGATCCCAGGCTCTGGGCAGGTAGAGGAAAGAAAAAGCATACAGTAGAATCCCCAAGCCAGATGGAGGCCAGGCAGGGGCCCGGTCTGTGCTGCTCACCGCTGAGGGCTTCCTGCTGCTTCTTCCACAGGGTGACATGCCTCTGCCAGTTTTTCAGAGAGTTGTGTTGAGGAGGTGGGGCCCAGGGAGGTCTCTTCTCTTCCTTTGGGGCCTTTGGTTCTGGCTCTTCTTTAGCTGAGATGACAGTCTTCTGATAGGGCTCTATGTGTATCATCTCAGCCAGCTGAAAAGTACAACACGGGCATACAAAGTGGGGCGAGGGGGAAGCTCTGACCTGGGGCCCAGCAGAGATTTCCTGAAACTCAGACCTCTGCTGCTGTTCTACTCTGCTGAGAATCCCTCTTCTTCAAGACTGTAAGGAGACAAGTGACAGAAATTTAATGGCAGAACCTGGGGTGGGGGGGGCTTGAAAGTGGTTGTCAGCTCCTTCTCCACCGGAAAGGGAACTTTCTTTTAAGACTATGGCTCTGTCCCACACAACTCCTGAACTGCACCTTTCTCCAGGTGCCCAACAAATGTGAAGGATTTGAGAGAGAGAAGTGCTGCATGATGGGAAGGTGGTCCCACGGTCTGTGAGACACCACCACTCTCCACCATGCTGAGGACAGCAGCCCCGTCTCTAGAGAAGGAACAATGACATCAGCACAGTGCAGCCAAAAGAACCGAGGAAGGATCTAGGCCTGGAGTCCTGATACCTTTCTGGGTTTGGCCTTCTCAGTTCTAGGTTCCACGAGGCTAGCTCTACATCCCTATAGGAAATCTTGTGGCTTACAATGAAAGCAAATCGCTTCGTGGGAGTTGGTGTCACTTGTCATCTTCATCTCAGACTTCAGGCCCAGAGACTGGAGTCTCTGTAGCTCACACCTGCTTTGGTCCTGCAGGTGGCACATTAAAATGGTGACTTCTCTAGGCCAGGCCTTTCTGAACAAACCTACCTTGATGTTCCCTCGAGCAAGTGCAATTCTCTTGAAATCCTGGAGACTCCCCAAGATATGATGAGGTAGGATCTGGTCACCATCATCTAATTTGTCACCTAGACCTGAAAGGAAAAGAGGGATTAAAGATGGGCTGTGGATAGCAGATATAAACTACCCAGGGGGTGACTTGCTCAGAGATTAGGCTTTTCTTCAAAGCCTAGTGGTGCCAGAGCCAAAACAAGCCATACCAGAATAATCCAGGGGCTTGGCGGTCATGTCCGGATTAGTAGAATGTGCTACCAAGTGGGAAACCTTCTTCCTCAAATCCTTGGGTTTGAGCTTACGGATGATAAACTTCTGGGTAATAGCAGGCTTGTCTTCTGGCCTAATAAGTTGAGGTATGTGTTGCTGAAGAGAAACAACAGAGCATGTCATCTGGGATGAGGAGAAAGAGCACCACCCAGCCCTTCTGCCTCAGTCTCTCAGGGTGAGATTTCCCCAAGGCTTACGCTTCCCCAGCTCCAACCAGATGTCCCAGAGAAGAAATATCAATGTAGGGTCATATGCATATATATATACAAATACAAGTAAATGGACTAAAGTATGGCATACTCATGGTAGGATCCCAGTGGTGTAACTCCTCTGAACACTAGCTAGTTTGACAAAATGGACGTCAGGAAGCTAAGCCATGTTTTGTCAGTGGTAGGAGGGTCAAAGGGAAGAAGGCAGAAGAATGGAGAGAGGAAGGGCAGAACACAGTCACTGTACATGCTGGAAGATGCAGCCAAGTAACTTGAGAATATAGCTTGGGTTGGCAGGGATGGGGAAAGATGGAAGAGGTGACACTGATCAAGATGCTTTGTACCTCTAAATTTATTTGTTGAATTGAAACGTCTTCGTGCAACTACTTAATAATACTAGCCAGGTGTTGGTGGCTTGCGCCTGTAATCCTAGCTACTCAGGAGGCTGAGATCAAAGCCAGCCTGGGCAGGAAAGTCCATGAGACTCTAATCTCCAGTTAATTGCCAGAAAAAAAAAAATGGAAGTAGCACTGTGGATCAAGTGGTAGAGCACTTGCCTTGAACTGAAGAGCTGAGGGACAGCACCCAGGCCCAGAGTTCAAGCCCCACGCATGACAAAAAAATAAATAATAATAAAGAAATGCCTATGTAACAGATAAGAAACACTGGAACCACCTGGAGAAGAAAAAAATCACAGCTAATTACTTCCACAGAGTTCAGGTTTAAAAATAAAAAAGGCAGGGGGTAAACAGCCTTATCCATGTCTTTGCCTTGGATGTATACACTCATCTCCTACCTGGGAAATGAACCTGATGGCACATGCCTCTCTGATATCTCATTTGCTCCTGTCCTCTGTGGTTCTACAAAATCTCAGGAAAAAAAAAAAAAAAAACAGCACAGGCATTCCTTTGGATGCTAAAGTGAAAACTTGTGGTCAATGGCTTCTTTTCCATGGAATCAGACACTCCTTCTGAGCAGGGAACCAGTGGAAACACAGTGAGCACGGCTGATATTCCAGCCTACACAGGCTGGCAGGGAAAGGGGTCCACAGTGAGGGAACCCTGAATTTCTTTTCTTTTTTTTCCAGGGCTGAGAATCGAACTCAGGGCCTTGCGGGCGCCAGGCGGGCGCCCTTCCGCTGGGCTAAACCCCCAGCCCCGGGAACCCTGAATTTCATTCACCCTTACCTTCTCCAAGTCTTCCTTCTTAATACCTAAAGCAAGAATATCATCTCCTTGTAGGACATTGCTAACAGGCTCCGGCTCTTCCTGAATGGGGGGTGTTGGCTGTTCAGGGGCCTTTGCCCGCTTCCTGTCTGAAGAGCAGAAAAATTAAGCCACATTCAGATATATATATATATATATATATATATATATATATATATATATATATATATATATATATATATAAAATCAAAACTGTCAGTCTAGGACTGAAGCTGCAGCACAGAGGTAGAGCACTTGCCTAGCAATGTATAAGACAGTTAAGTCCTGGACTCAATCCCTACCACCATGAGAAAAGCAAAGAAATAGCGGAATGTAGTAGCAAATATAATCCCAGATATCAGGAGGCTAAAGGATGGTAAGTTCAACCACCCTGGATTACATAGGGAGATTTCATCTCAAACAATAAACAAATCCATATTAGACTGCAGGGTGACCAGGCCAGCCAGCTGGACAGCAGAGGTTGCTATGATGGTATGGGAGGCACTTTAGTGGGGTGATGGGAATCTGTCTTTAGGGCCCCCCTGCCCACTCCCTCTTGGACTTCAACAGAGTCTGAGATTTCTGCATGAAACTTGAGATCAAAAGATGCTATCTTGCTGGATGCCAGTGGCTCCTACCTATAATCTTAGTTACTCAGGATAAGTTCTGAGGATCCCAGTTCGAAGCCAGCCTGGGCAGGAAAGTCCTGTGACCTCTTATCTCCAACTGACCACCAAAAAAGCTGGAAGTAGAGCTGAGGCTCAAGTGGTAGAATGATAGCCTTGCAAGAAAAAGCTGAGGGACAATGCACAGGCTTTGAGTTCAAACCCCAGGAATGACATACACGTACACACAAAAGATGCTGTTTCCAGCTAGATCCTGGTGATTTACATCTGTAAACTACTTGGAAAATGGCAATTGGGAGAATAACAGTTCAAGGTCTGCCTGGGCAGAAAAGTTAAGGGACTGGACATGGTGGCATGCACTTGTGATCCTAGCTCTGATGGGAAATATGACATAGTAGATGGTGTTTGGTGTGCACCTGGGCAGGAAGCCAGACTGTCTCAAAAAATAAGCAGTACACCCATGTGCTGATGACTTACATCTGTAATCCTAGCTACTCAGAAGGCTGAGATCTGAGGATCGCAGTTCAAAGCCAGCCCAGGCAGGAAAGTCTGTGAGACTCTTATCTCCACTAAACTACTCACAAAAAGTGAGAAGTGGTGTTGTGGCTCAAGTGGTAGAGTGCTAGTCATGAGCAAGAGAAACTTAGGAACAGCACCCAGGCCCTGAGTTCAAGCCCCAGGACCAGCAGTTCAAAGCTAGCTCAAGCAGGAGTATATGAGATTTTTTTTTGTCAGTCCTGGGGCTTAAACTCAGGGCCTGGGTGCTGTCCTCAAGCTCTTTTGCTCAAGGATAGCACTCTACCACTTTGAGCCACAGAGCCACTTCTGGTTTTCTGGTTGAAGGAAGGAAGGAAAGAAGGAAGGAAGGAAGGAAGGAAGGAAGGAAGGAAGGAAGGAAGGAAGGAAGGAAGGAAGGAAGGAAGGAGGGAGGAGAGGAGAGGAGAGGAGAGAAGAAAGGAAAGGAAAGGAAAGGAAAGAAGGAAAGGAAAGGGAAGTGAAGGAAAGGAAAAGAAAGGGAAAAAGAGAAGAAAAACCAGCACACAACAAAGGACTGGAGGCATAGCTCAGCAGTAAAAAGAGCATCTAACTAGCAAGCATGAGGCTCTGAGTACAAATGCTAATGCCACTTAATACATCTCTCTGTGTAGATAATATAGATAGATAGATAGACAGACAGACAGACAGACAGATCCTGTTTCAGGCTGTGTTACTTATAGGTTGGACCACCTTAACCTCTCTGGGCCTCATCTTCTATTTGTGAAAAGAAGAGAAAGTAAACTAAAGCAATGGCTTATAAATATTAGCCTCTGAGTTTTACAAATGCAGTTTCCTGATTACTATATAGAGCCCAGGACTTAAAAATGCAATCCTGGTGGTTCAGTGATTTGGGACAACCAGACCAGACATGTATTGAGCCTCCTCCGGTGCTGGCACCCATCTATTCTGGGTAAAGGAATCATGAATCTTAAGACACTGGTGAAAATGCATATGCTTCACCACTGACCACCTATTTCATAGTATTCCATTTCCTAATGGTGGTGTAAGCAGCTTCCACACACCAGGCACTGGGCTAGGTTCTGAGGAGACAAGAATCTCCATCTTTGCAGACTAGGGTGGCTAGGTTTCCCCTAGGAAACAAGACTGTCAGATCTTGGGGCACTAGGGGAGACCCATGGAACCCAGCCCACCTTATAGAATGATCAGGGAACTTTCCTAAGGTAGAGATGTTTAAATGGAAAGCCAGAGATGTGAAATGGCATTTTGGCCCAAAGGTTCCAATGGGAGCTGCACAGGGAGGCCCAGAGACACAGGAGAGGGGGTTATCATCCTGGAACTCAAAGCACGCATGGAAAAATAGCTGGGGTGTAGTGAGGTGAAAGTAGGAAGCAGAAAGGAAGCAGGAAGTAGAAGCCAAAGCACCAAGAGCTTAGTGAGCCATGCCAAGGACTCCTGTGTTTACTTGGGGGCAGTGGCAGGCCAACAGGTAGCCTAGGGACTGTGAGATTGAGGACCAGATTACTCAAGAGTCTGCAGGAGATAATGAACTGATGGATGATGACAATGGCTCATAGGCCCGGGGAAAAGTGAGATCTAAACTTCTGTCAAGTAGCAGCCAGAATGGAGGATGCTGACATCACATGGGGCAGAAGAGGACACACACTCCCTGCCTTCCTACAGGTGGCTTCACCCGTTCAAAGGTACATCTTGTTTGTCTTTTCCCCTCTGGTTCAGAACACTTTAAGGTAAGGCTGTATGCAAAACAAACAGAAGAAAAACCCAAGCCCTGTGTTAGGGTGTTTTATCTACTGCTGCTCAAAGGACTCTGCTTTTTGTATTTTTTTAAGAACATTTTTAGTGGTTCAGGTCTGTGATCCCAGCAATGCAAGAGGGCATCCAGTGCAGCCCCAAGCACATAAAATCTTTTTTTTTCTTCCCCCCCTACTCCCACATAAAATTTTATTCAAAAAAATAAAGGAAAAATGTGGCTGGAGGTCTGGTTTAGCAATACAGTACCTTTCTAGCAAGAACGAAGTACTGAGCTCAAACACCAATATTACCCAAAAAAGATTTCATTAGCAAATATTAATTTCAGAAAATAAGTTTTTATTATGACATTTTCATACAAAGGTACTCTAATCTTTAAGACACCACATCAATCTTTAATAAGAGACATATCAAGACAGGGGTTTTGGTCAACAAAATTAATTTTTTTTTAGTCCTGGGACTTGAATTCTGGGTCTGGGCACTGTTCCTGAGCTCTTCAGCTCAAGGCAAGCGCTCTACCACTTGAACCACAGCGTCACTTCTAGTTTTCAGGTGGCTATTAGAGATAAGACTCTCACCAACTTTCCTGCCCAGGATGGCTTTGAACTGCAGATTCTCAGATCTCAGCCTCCTGAATAACTAGGATTACAGGCGTGAGCCACCACCACCACCCGGCCAAAATTAAACTATTTAAGGTCCACAGAGTGGGGAAGAAAAAAAAATAGAATCATTCAAACGTCATTCTGAACATAACTCCAAGCTCAGCCTTTGGCCACAAGTGGGAACAACAGAAGTTCAGACGTTACCTATCCCCTAAATGTGGATAAGTCCCAGCCCAGTAGACTGACCCATCCTGGGATGATCTGCAGCTTTGGATTTTAATTTTTGTTTGTTTGCATGAATAATTTTTGTTTGTAAAACAGAGTCTCAGTATGTAACCCAAGCTGGCTCTCCATCTTCCCACCTCTGCCTCCAAAGGGCTAGAAGTACAGGCAAGCACTACTATGCCCCACTTGGATTCATTTCTATTTCTCTCTTCCTGCCCACCTTTCAGGTGGGCACACACAAGCAAACTGGTACTAGTTGAAGGCATTTAAAATGTACACATTTTAATGAATATTTTATTGACCAGAATATACTACCCTCTGACTGTATGCTGTTACAGGACATTTACTGCACTGCATTGTAGATGGTTATCTCAGAGGCCAATCGTGGTGATGCAGGCCTGTAATTCCAGTTACTTGGAATTTTATAAATTTTTTGACATATTTTCCAGGACAACTTTTCTTCTATCACCTTGATTGGTCTACATCCTCCCTAAAACATCTCTAGATGGGTTTTTCCCTGGTAAGGGAAAAATGGTCACTTCTAAGTAGAAACCTTCAACACTGCTGAAGAGGATTGGACACTAAAACTTCCACCCTGTTTATAGAAGCTGATTTATCATGTTGGTTGAATTGAAGCAGCCAGAGAAAATTTGATCAGGGTTTTTTCTGAGCTATTTCTCATCCCCTTGGTGGTACAGGGGTTTGAACTCAGGGCCTTGCACTTGCTAGACAGATGCTCTACCACTTGAGTCATACCACCTATCCCCTTCCTCTTTTTTCCTATTTGTAGTTGTCAAATAAGGTCTTGTTTTTCCCTAGGGCCAGCTTGAAGCATGGTCCTACCTATGTCTCCCACATAGATGTGGTTACAAAAACAAAAACAAAAAAAACTCCATGCCTGGCTTGTTGATTGAAATAGGTATTATTTACTTTTTGCCCAAGCTGATCTCAAACCCTAATCCTCATATCTCAGCCTCCCAAATAGCTGGGGCTTGAACTCTGGGCCTGGGCACTGACCCCCCAGCTCTTCAGCTCAAGGCTAGTGCTCTACCACTTGAGAGACAGCACCACTTCGGTTTTCTGGTGGTTAATTAGAGATAAGAATCTCACAGACTTTCCTACCCAGGCTGGCTTTGAACTGAGATCCTCAGATCTCAGACTCCTGAGTAAATAAGATTACAGGTGAGAGCCACCGACGCCAGACTCAAGTAGTTGGGATTATAGCCATGCACCATGTATATGCTTGGCCTATGAAATTAGTACAATAAATATTCTAATGCTGCATACAACCAGGGTATGGTACAAACACTAGTTCAAATGATCTGCAAGCCAGGTGCCAGTGGCTCATGCCTGTAATCCTAGCAACTCAGATCTGAGGATCATGGTTCAAAACCAGCTCGGACAAGAAAGTCTGTAAGACTCTCATCTACAATTAAATCACAGAAAAAGCCAGAAGTAACATTGTGGTGACACAAGTAGTAGAGTGCTAGCTGTGAGCAAAAGGGGCTCAGAGACAAGGCACCACATAAGCAAAAAGAAAAAAGCCGGAAGTGGCACTATGGCTCAAGTGGTAGAGCGCTAACCTTGAGCTGAAGAGCTGAGGGACAGCGCCCAGGCCCAGAGTTCAGGCCCTACGACCGGACCCAAAAAAAAAAGAATATTCACCAAGGGCTGGGAAGGTGGCTCAGTAGTAAAGCACTTGCCTTGCATGCATGAGGCCCTGGGTTTGATTCCCCAGCACCACATAAGAAAAAAGAAAAAAGCTGGAAGTGGTGCTGTGGCTCAAGTGGTAGAGTGGTAGGCTTGAGCTGAAGAGCTGAGGGACAGCGCCCAGGCCCAGAGTTCAGGCCCCACGACCAGAACCCCCCCTCAAAAAAAAAAGAATATTCACCAAGCACCTTGTATGTATGTGCTATAAACCACATAGATGCTATGAAGGGAACAGAATGGCTTCTTCTCTTTAGATGTGCTCTCCAAGAGCACCTCTAGATTTGCCAGAGAATTCACAGGGTGGAGATATATCACTCCTGAGCCTGTAAAGGTCCAGCCAGCTCTTTCCTTTTCGTTTGTGTAGGGGGGAGGGGGAGGGGGGATCGAACCCAGGGCCTGGGCACTGCCCCTTAGCTTTTTTGCTCCAGGAAAGCACTCTACACCACTTGAGCCATGGATCCACTTCCAGCTTTCCAGGGGTTTAACTTGAGGTGAGTCACACATACTTTCCTGCCTGGGCTAGCTTCAAACCTTGATCCTCAGATCTCAGCCTAGGATTATAGGTATGAGCTGCCGGTACTCAGCTTCTTTCCTGTTCTTTGTTCTAGAAATTCGAGCTGAGTAGAGCTGCTCTTGAGCCTCACAGTTGGCACTTCTCCATGCATCCTAGCAGTTGAGAGTCAGGTAGACCAGCTCCCTTGCAGGGGGCTGTCAGGTGACTGCTCTGCTACAGCTACACCAAGAAGCTGGAAGCCAGGTGCTCAGGCTGGAGTGGAGGTGGGGCGGGGGAGGGGGCAGGGGGGAAACACTACTGAAGGAGAAGAAACCTGCATTTGATTTTTCTGCTTCTCCATTCATCTAAATATTATTCTTTCTAACGTTAATGAAAATCTGCAAGCAAATGACCTAGGCTTGCACTAGAAACTAAGGTAGGGACTACCAGTACAGAGCTTTAGCCAGTGGGAAAGGGGGATCTGGTGCTGCTAAAAGTCTTTCCTGTTGAGTCCCTAAATAGGTTTCCAGTCACCATTTTGGCTTGCCTTTGTGTCCAGAATTCAGAGACTGTGAAGAAATGCAGCCCAAGGGTACCACAGTCCCTAGGCAGGTTGGCTATTTTACATTGGGGAGCAGGGAGAAAATGTTCCCCTATTAGAGGCTTCCCTGAGAAAGTTCAGGAAAAAGGGACCTTGCATGTTATAAATACTTCCTTGTTTTCTTCCTTTCCAAGGTGCATGTTCTTAACCCAAGGACTACTTAACATACTGAATTTCCCCTTATTAAAAATCAATATACAGTGAAAAGAAATCTTCCTTTGATTTGTTGACAGCTGAAAGGTCAATTTGATTAAGACTGGGCAGAAAGGTGGGTGAGCAGGAGGCAGTGGCTAGGAAAGTCCTTGACTTGCCCTTGGGAAAGGGAACCAGAGCTGTATATTCTTCCTGTCTCTCTCTTAACTATTAAAAAGTATGTCACGAACCAGCATCAGCTTTATATACTATGAAGAAGCATAAAAGAAAGGTAGGCTGAAAAGCAACAAGGCTTCTGTTAGTTTTCCAGGCCTCCCAGGGGACCCTGCTGACTGAGGGCCTGCCCCTCCCAGGGCCTGCAAAAGCACAACCTGTCTTTCTAACCTTGTATGCAAAGCCTTTTCATCATCTGGTCCCTGTTCACTGGCACGCCACTCTCTGGATCTCATGTTCATAGGTTCATGAACTTATGCTGCTCCCTAACCCTGGAGAAAACTCCACACATACTTTTTCTTTCAATTTTTAAAAAAATGTTTCCAAGCCTGGCATATGCCTGGCAAGTGCTCTTTTAATGAACTATACCCACAGCATTTTAATGAACCGTATCCCCAACACTTTTATTCTTTAGATCTGTCATAGATCTCCCCTTCTTCACCTTCTTTCCCCTAAGCCTACTATGCAAGGCCTGTGTCAGGTTCCTCACCCCCAAGGGTGAGTTCTTCACCCACAGGGGCATCTGCATCACAGCATGAGGGGACTTCTCCAGCATTTCTAGAATGAATTAGTGTGTGAGTGTGTGTGTGTGCGCGCACGCACGCGTGCCTGTGTGCCCGTGTGCACATGTGCCAGGACTGGGCTTGGATTCATGGTGTTGTGCTTGGCTTTTCCCCTCAAGGCTGGTGCTCTACCACTTGAGCCACACCTCCACTTCCAGCTTTCTGCTGAATAATTGGAGATTAAGTGTCTCATGGATGTTGCCTACCCTGGCTGGCTTCAAACCACAATCCTCAGATCTCAGCCTCCTAATTAGGATCATGAGGTGAAGAACCAGCATTGGCTTGATTCTGAACTTCTTGAGGCTAGAATCTCTTATATATAACACCAATACTGTCAAATGCCCACTGTTGATGCCCAACGTAGCATCCACACATAGCAGTGAAAACAGGTCTCGAGGGGAGGAGGTAATACAGAAGTGAAACATGTTCAAGGCTCTGAGTTCCATCCCCAGGGAATGGGGCTGCAAATGGGAACTGTGGAGCAGTCAAGTCTAGTGACCCTTGGTTGAACACAGTGTCATATAGCTGACTAGCGTGGACAGGTAAAGGTGGTCTGAAAGAACTAGTCAACTTGACATTTTAGATTTTTCCAGTGGAACTGTTAGATGAGTTTCTTCATCTTAACGTACTTCTCGAACTGCCCGCCCCTTGTTTTTGTTGGTCGTGAGGCTTGAACTCCGGGCCTGGGAGCCCTGAACTCTTTTTGCTCAAGGCTAGTATTTGACTACTTGGAACCACAGCGCCACTTCCTGTTTTCTAGGGGTTAACTGGAGATAAGAGTCTCACAGACTTTCCTAACCCGGCTGACTTGAACTGTGATCCTCAGATCTCAGCCTTCTGAGTAGCTAGAATGATAGGCGTGAGCCACCAGAGACTGGCTCCTTATTTTTTTTGGGGGGGGGCACCATTTCCTGGTTCCTGGGTAGGGCTTCCAGCCCAAGTATCCTGTCTGGAGCTGTGGTTACAGGTGGAGATCTCTTACCCTTGCTGCTCTCTGCAGCCACTGCCCTCAAGGGCCCTCTGAGAGTCCACCGTCTATGACTCCATCCTTAAGGCCCCATGTGGTGAATCTCCGCCCTTCGGAGGTTCTGCCTTGGTCTACTATCCTTAAGTCCTGAAGCCCGCGCCCCAGGGCTCACTGCCATCTTGGTGTCACTCCCATCCTCCGGACCCCCTCTGCGGACCCCCGTCCCCGAGGACCCCCTGGGGGCCTCCTGAGCGCCCGGGGCAGCCAGCGCCCACCTTTGACGGCGTCTGTGGACTCCACCAGCCTGCTAGTGAGCATTTTGATCCGGGATTCCTTCTTGATGGCCTTCATGGTGCCGCCCCCAGTTGCAAGCTTGTCCTAGGCTGCTGGGTCCCGAGACGCCGGCGCTGCGCCGCACCCCCCGAGGCCCGGCCCAGCGACTGCCGCGGCGTCCATAGCAACCAGCGCCCCGCGAGGGGGCGCGCACCCACCGAGCAGCGTGCACGGCGACGGCTTGCTTGCCATCTTTCTCACCGAGCGCGCGCGCGCCCCCGGCAGAACACCCGAGCGGGGCTCGTGACGTCACCGCCGACGTGGCGCACGCGCCGTGAGGTCACTGGCTCAGACCCGGTGGGGGGGAGCCTGGGCCGCAGGCAGTGGGGGCGCAGCGGGAGCGGCCGGGGCGGGAAGGGGGGGCGGGGACCAGACGACCCCCCCCCCCCCCCCCCCCCCGAAGCAGGCGACCGCGATTGTCGACCCCCGGCCTCCTCCCCTCCTTCTCTGACCCCCAGCACGGCCTGCAGATCAGCCCTGGGCTTTTAGACTGCCATTGCTGCAAACATGGTGACCCAGGATTGCTCCTCCCCGGAGGTGATGTGGACCCCCGGGCGGCTGGCTTTCTGGAGTTGAGGCACACACCCGCATACCTGTCCCCACCCCCGCGCTGAGCGCCCCCATCCAGGGACCGGCCCTTCTATCACTTCCCAGCCTGCCCAGGCTGTGTCCAGATGTAGGGGTCTTCTCCCGCTGCTCCTCTCAGTCCTTAGAGATGCTGACCCAATAAAATAGCTCTTCTCTGTGATGTCAAGTTTATAAGGACACCTGCTTTTCCTGCCTTTCCTGCCTCTTTCCTCTCTCCCTCCCTTTCCCCCTTTTTTTCTTCCCTCCCTTCTTTCCACTTTTTCCCATTTTTCTTCTTTATTCCCTTTCTTTCCCTTCTCTTCCCTCCTTCTCTCCCTTCCTTCCTCATCCCTCAATCTCCCTCTTCCCTCTTTCCCTCCTCTTCCCTTCTCTCTTTCCCTCCCTCCCTTCCTACCTTTCTAGTCAGTTGTGGGGCTTGAACTCAGAGCCTGAACGCTGTCCCTGAGCTTTTTTCACTCAGTGCTAGCGCTCTACCACTTTGACCCACAATACCACTTTCCCCTTTTCTTTCTTTAGAGCTCTCTCTAATGCATTCTGGAGTTTATTCTGCTTGTTTATGAGGACACCCGTCAAGTCAGTGTCATAATGTAAGCCCCACAAGAGCAGGGACTGCCAGTCTCTTTGCTCCACCCTATCCCAGAGTTTTTAGTCTAGGACTATTGTTCAGTGATTGTGTGTCCAATAATGGAGACTCAGAGCCAGACAGAACTAGCTGTGCTTCCCCACTCTCCTTGCTTGCTGACTGTGCATTCTGCAGTTTCTTAATCAGTCTGAGCACAAGGCTTCTCACAGAAGTTAAAATGTCCACTAATCCTAGCTACCCTGGAAGTTGAGATCTGAAGAGCAAGGTTCAAACTCAGCCTGAGCAGGAAAGTCCATGAGATTCATCTCCAATTCACCACACACACACACACACACACACACACACACACACACACACACACACCAGAAATGTTGCTGTGGCTCAAGAGGTAGCGCATAAGCCTAGAGCACAAAATCTCAGAGACAGTGCCCAGGCCCTGAGTTCAAGCCTTAGGACCTGCACACAAAACAACAAAAAAGTTACAATGCTTCCCTTCCCCACTGTAAGAATCAAGTATACGTTTAAACTAGTATATCTAGTGGTTTATGTATCCATTTTTAGATGGAGAAATTCGGCTCTTGACAGGAGAGGGAATACAATTACCTGGTTAACAAAAACCACAAGTTGAAGCTGGTTTACTCAAATCTAAGGCCCTGGGACTATTTCTGAGCATGGAAGCAGTTTTCTCCAGAGGAGGCACTGGGGAAGATGGTGGAGCTGGTCAACTGCCGGAATGCCTGTGTGCTCCCCAGTGCTGGACCCCTCTCCAGCGGCATGCCCCTCTCCAGGCTCCCCTACACTGAGATACCCTCCAAGGGCAGCCCCTCCCCTCCAGCTGAGGTATACCCTCAGTCTCCAGTTCATCCATTCCATGAGCATGCACTGGCTACCTTTATAGGGTACACCATGTGATGCTGTGTCCCTTGGGTTCTCCTGGGAACAGACAAAATGCTGAGGTGGAGATGGGAGGGCATGAAGTTTATGGCAGGGAGGGACGGAGGTTTATGGCAGGGTGGGACAGGCTATGATGAGATGTCTGCACCGGGTTTGGGTCTGCTGCCAACCAATGGAACCGATGAATGGAGAATGAATGAGAACAAGCTTTGTGAGAAGATGGCAGGCTCTCATCTTCCATAGCCATCTTACAACTTGCTCTAAAGAGAGTTTTTTTACCTGGGCGCCAGTGGCTCACGCCTATAATTCTAGCTACTCAGGAAAGTGAGATCTGAAGATCACAGTTCAAAGCCAGCCCAGGCAGGAAAGTCCATGAGACTCTTATCTCCAATTAACCACCAGAAAACCAGAAGTGGTGCTGTGGCTCAAATGGTAGAGTGGTCACCTTGAGCTGAAGAGCTGAGGGACAGTGCCCAGGCCTCACAACCTACAAAAAAAGAAAAAAAAAGTCTTTTTATGTCTGTAGTTCCAGCACTCAGAAGGCCAAAACAGAAGGAGAGACTCTGCCTAAAATATGTAAAAAAAATTTTAAAAGAAGAAGGTGGGGAAGATGAGGAGAAAGAAATGAAGACAGTGAATAATCAACTTCTGTGTTGATGAAAGTGACAGGTCTGGTGTTTGTTGTGGTCAGAGTGGCTGGTCAGCACCCTTGAAGGTGTAGCCGTCTCCTGTAACTTGGGAGTTACAGGAAGTGCTTGGGCAGAAAGGGTTGGTGTGTACCTAGCTAACTTTACTGTGCAGTTAATCTGTCAGACATAGGGCAGGCCAGAGTGAAGGGAAACTTCTGAGATTTGGAGAGCTTATGTGTACTTTCAGTAAGGCCTATGGAAGATGGAGAAGGTGGGCATCAAAACCACACTGTACCCCACAAATATATACACTTATTTGCCAGTTAAAAATAAAATATAGCCAGACCCTGGTGGCTCATGCTTGTAATCCTAATTACTCAGGAGGTTGAGATCTGAGGATCAAGATTGAAAGCCAACCCCAGAAGGAATGTCTGTGACTCATCTACAATTAACAACCAAAAAAGCTGGGAGCAGAGCTGTGGCTCAAGTGTTGAGTACCAACCTCGAGCAAAAAAGCTAAGGGACTCTGGGCACTAGTGGCTCATGCCCTAATACTAGCTACTTAGAAAGCTGAGAGCTGAAGATCATGGTTCAAAGCCAGCCCAGGCAGGAAAGTCCATGAGACATCTTCATTTAATCACAAAATAAGCCAGAAGTGGTGCTATTGTTCAAAATGGTAGAGTGCTAGCCTTGAGCAAAAGGAGGTTAGCGTCAGCAGGCCCAGAGTTCAAGGCCCAGAACCATCCAAAAAAAAAAAAATGCTAAGGGACCGTGCCCAGGCCCTGAGTTCGATCCCCAGTACCAGCACAAGAAAAATAAAACAAAAAAAAAAGTTAAAGGGGAAGAAAGCAAGCCTGGGCCAGGAGAGTTATGACTGTTACAGATCTGACAGCCTAAGCTAACCCAGCGTCCAAGGACAAAGAATGTTCATCAGAGGCTGCCAGCAAAGTGCCCTCCTTGCAGGTGAGGAGCAAGTTCTTTCTAGAAGGGAAACGGGCACGTTGACCTCTGTGGCTGCCACCGGAACTCTGAGAAACACGGGAAAAGTGAGAAATGTCTTCTCTTCCCCTCTTGGAGATCAGAGTCCACTGAGAAAAAATACAAAAAGACCAACACTCTTGAAACGCCTTTCTCCGAAGGCTTTTTAATTTGGGAGAGTGTCACAGTTTGGGGGTAGCCTGTCTGGAAGGTTTCAAGGAGACCAAAGGACGAGGGAAGAGCAGGTGAGAGGGATGGAGGGTCAGGCAGCTGTGCAACCTGACTGGGCTCTGCTACCAGCCCCTGAGTGACCTCGTACAGATCTCATTCCTCCTGTGCCTCATGAAAGTGTCAGACGACATCAGAGCTACTCAGCCTTTTGAGAGTCTCATCAAAGTTTGCCATCTTCTTGCCAGAAATGTGCTTTCCATTTTCTTTCATGTTAAATGCAGGTAACATGAGTTCACTGTTTTATTTTTTCCTTATTTATGCATGCATTTATTTTGCCAGTACTAGGGCTTGAACTCAGGGCCTGAGCCCTGTCTCTTAGCTTTTACACTCAAGGCTGGCATTCTACCATTTGAGCCACAGTTACACCTCTGGTTTTTTGGTGGTTAATTAAGATGAGTCCCCTGCCCAGTCTGGCTTTGAGGCGCGATCCTCACATTTCAACCACCTGCGTAGCTAGGATTACAGGTGTGAGGCACCCACTCCTGGCTTGAATTCACCATTTTAACCTGTATAATTTTGTAACATCTTGTACCCTCACGGTGTTATACAACTACCACTACCATCCACTTCCAAAATGCTTTTATCAACTCAAAAGGAAATCTTGTAAACATACCACAGTTTAATTTTTCCTCTCCCAACCCCTGGTAGCCAATAAATGGTTTTATGTCTTTGTTGATTTGCCTATTTTGAATATTTTATGTAAGTGAAATCATACCATATTTGGTCTTTTAATTTAACATGTCCTTTATTTTTCCCAATGGCTAAACAATATTCCACTGGCTATCACATTTTGTTTATCTACTCATTTGTACATTTAATTTTGCACATGATTTTCTACTTAATCCCAGGTGTTCTCTGAACAAGTTGGGGGGCGGGGGAGAGGGATGAAGTCAATGTACTTTAGACCCAGAATTGGATCTCATAGAAGATTTCCAGCCCTAATGTATGTGTCACTCAGGAAGTACAGCAGAAAGTAACTTTTTTTTTTGGTTATGATTAAGATGCTATATACAGAGGGGCTACCATTTCATAAGTCAGATAATGAGTACATTTCTTTTGGACAATGTCAGCCCTTCCTTCCCTTTCCCCCAGTTTCCCCCTCCCATCCCTGCTCACAAGTTGCATAGTTGATTTTCTACATATTACCGACTGAGTACCATGACTGCATTTGTTCCCCTTCTTTCCTCCATTTCTGTCCTGCCTCCCCGCCCCAGCCCCCCCACTCCCCCTCCACCCCGTTCCTCCTCAAAAGACAAAAGGCAACAACAAAAAACAAATGACACCTAGGAAGAGGTAACTCTCTTTTTGGGGGGCGGGGGAGGAGGTAACTCTTGAATTGGGCCACTAAGATGAAGTTCAGCAGGCATGGGTGGGGAGGTAGTCCAGAGCAGGGATGAAGGCCCAGAGGCAGGAAGCCTATGTTCATAATTCAACCTGAATAGCTTCAACCATTTCCTCCCAGGTGACAACTCTGAGCAATTTCCTCAAGCCCTGGGAGGAGGAGGTGGCTGGGTTGACAGAGGGCATGGCGTAAATGATTGCTTCATGGCTCTGTTTATTTCCACGCAGCCAGGTGTTGGGTTCCAGAGGCAGCAGCCTCCTTGAATACAGGCGAAACATTTCCTGAACACAGTCAGCTCCCAGAGCCTCCTTGGGGGTAACCTGTTCTCAAGCTTCTTGCATCTGGCTTACTCTTCTGGCTTCCCTACTTCTGTCTCATAACCACAGACACCTGGTGCCTTCCTCTAGCGTCTCTCCCCTCCCCCACACCTGGCCATCCCCACAGCAGCTCAATCTCGACAGCTGGCCTTGCATCCTGAACATCTGGTTATCACCCCTGATCCCCCTTTAAGGACAAATATCTCCCTGTCCTTCCTACTATCTTGCTTGGCTGACACTCAACAGGAAACTTCCAGTCCTCTCAGCACTGAACACACGCCACAGCTGGAATCTGTCCTCATGGTGGACAGAGTGTAGCCTGAGGAATGACACACAGATGGTGCCCAACCCCCCCCTCCCCGCCTGCTATCTAATATATCCCAGGCTGGCATGAAACTATTAATCCATCACACAGCTTTCCTGTGTGTGTGTGTGTGTGTGTGTGTGCGCGCGCGCGCCAGTACTGGAGCCTGAACTCAGAGCCTAGCTGTTGTTGCAGAACTTTTTTGCTCAAAGCTAACATTCTATAACTTAAGCCAGAGCTCCACTTCCAGCTTTTTGTTGGCTAATCAGCAATAAGTCTCGTGGACCTTTCTGCCTGGACTGCCTTCCAACTGTGATCCTCAGATCTCAGCCTCCCGAGTAGCTAGGATTACAGGTGTGAGCCACCAGCACCCAATTCCCTTAACTGTTCTTGCTCAAGGCTAGTGCTCTACCAACTTCAGCCACAGCTCCACTTCCAGCCTTCTGATAGTTAGTTGAAGATAAGAGTGACACAGACTTTGCTGCCTGGGCTGGCTTTCCACCTTGATCTTCAGATCTTGGCTTCCTGAGTAGCTAAGATTACAGGCATGAGCCACTAGCATCTGGCCTCTACTTTCCTTTTAGATATGGTCATAAGAGGGCCCTTCTAGAGACTATCTAGAATAAGGGGGACTTTGGAGTAAATAATGTGTGGGTTTGCATCTTACCTTTGTCCTTCCATGGGCCATTCTCTTTACAAGTGGGGACATGGCCTGACCTTTTCTAGTCTCTGGGGCTTTATCTAGAAGCTCTTCTGCTGAAATATCTGCCCATTATAGCAGCAGACTCTCCAGGAGTCAGGGACTTACTGTCACATCAGTGAACTGAGTTCCTGGAATAGCTGGGCACATGTAGGCCACCATGGTGGGTGGGCGCTGGGCCACCTAGAGAAGCCCTGGGGATTCATGGCAGCTCCTTCCAGCATCTGGGGAAATTGTGGGGAAGAAGTGGGCTCCTCCCATGAAACAACACCCAAAGGCAAAACCACAAGCCACGGTGTGAGGCATGAGGCATCCTGGGAGGTTTGTTCTAAGAAGACTTTTCTAAGAATCTGAGCTCCCCCCAGGCAGGCAGAGTCTCAGTCTGGGATGGTCTCGAGGACATGCCTCACAGGGATGGACACTGAGTTCTGGAGCTCTGTGCCAACGCTCTCCACAAAAAGAAGGCTCTCTGCCCATACCCCTCCATGCCTCCTCACCCTGGTCAATAGAGAGATTCTGCAGAGCACAAAAGCTGAGCTGGAGGAGCTGGCTCCCCATGAGATCTTGATCCTCTGGATTGGAGGGTATCTGAGGACTTGCCTCACTCCACCATGGCTAAGAACTGGGGGGAACGGGGCCACGATGATGCTGAATTAAAAGCCTGTGCCTTCCAGGAGCCAGTAGATCACACCTGTAATCCTAGCTACTCTGGAGACTGAAATCGAGGATGGTAGTTCAAAGCCAGCCCAGACGTGAGACTCTTACCTCCAATTAACCAGCAAAAAGCCAGAAGTGGTGAGAGGAAAATAAACAAACTAACTAAGGGACAGTGCCTAGGCCACCAGTTCAAGCCCCAGAACTGGCACACACACACACACACACACACACACACACACACACACACACACACACACACACACCGATGCCTGGGCCTGAGTCTTTTTCACAAACCTGTGAGATCTGGCCCAGTGCTTCACACACACACACACACACACACACACACACACACACACACACACGATGCCTGGGCCTGAGTCTCTTTCACAAACCTGTGTGATCTGGCCCAGTGCTTCTCCTGAGTTTCACTCATCACCCACACAGTACAGACTCCTCAATTTCCCAGAATCAAATCAAGGAGGAAAAGAAACAAAAATACAAAGAGATATGTGTGGAAGTCCTCTAAGGATTTTTAGCTAAGACCCAGCACACTCAGATACATTAGTTAATTTCTCTCTAGGGTCATATGGTGGGCAGAATAACAGCTCCCTAAAGACAGGCACATCCTAATTGCCAGAAGCTGTGGTTCCCATTACGAGGTAAAAAGGACTTACTGGGTAGATGTGATTAAGGATCTTCAGATGCAGAGATTATCCTGGATTATCTGATGAGCCCCCAGTAATCACAAAGATCATTAAAAAGAGAGAGGGGAGGGGCCAGAGTCAGAGAGGGAGACCTGGGGTCAGAAGCAGAGGTCAGAATATGGTGGCCACAAGCCAGGACCATCAGTAGCAGCTGTCAGAAGCTAGAAAAGGAATCAATTCCTTCTAGACTCCAGGCTCTTCCTCCTTGATTTTAGGCACTTCAGACTTGACTTCCAGAGTGCTGGCTAATATAGTTAGGTTGCTTTAAGCCACTAAGTGTGTGGTCATTTGTAATGGCAATAATAAGAGCTAAACTGAGGAGTTGGGTATGGTGGTGCACACCTGTAATCCCAATACTTGGAGGCTGAGGTAGAAGGATTAGGAGTTCCAGGTTAGCTCAGGCTACACAGTGAGACCCTGTCTCAAAAAAAAAATCAAAGGGGGATAGAAATAAAAAAGAAAGAAAAGAACTAATATAGATAAGGTCATAGAACTACTGCTTTCAATTTGATTTCTCCAATTTTTTTTTCTTAGTCTGTCTCAGTCAGTGGAAGCTTCTGTTCTTCCCAAGTTAGCTCATGGCTCTCATGCTACCATTAAATAGGTCACTGCATAACTGCCTTGAGTTCCATTTTAGCAGATCATGCTACACTGGACACACCCAAGTTCAAAGCTGGATGACCCTGGGCCAGATCACCCAACAGCTCTGAGTCAGTCTCTTCCATTTCAAAATTCGGAAATTGTGAAAATTAAATGTGATTTCCTCGACAAGCCTTCTTTTCACAGAAATAAAAAGTCTGTCTGGGTTACCAGATAAACTATAGATTGGCTTAAAGAAATGCCTTTTTAGTATAAGAATCAGCCCATGAAATACTTGGGCCATAGTTATACTGAAAAGGTACTCAGTTACACTAAAAATGTTTTCTGAAATTCAAATGTAACTGGACACCGGGATTTTTGCTTTCTCAATCAACAAGCTTAGGCTTGTTCCAAATCAAACCACTTGTAGCCACAGAGCTAAGCCTCAAGGTCAGGCCTTTCCACCTCAAGGTCAGTGAAGCAGCCAGCTCTATCCTTCAATAGACTCCCTGAGCCACATAGCAGCCCTAGACTTAACTAGGTTGAAGTTCAAACCAAATGCAATCTGAGCTTTAGAAACACATTTCATACTATGAAAATATAATACTATACCAGAGTAATTTCACACAATACAATATCAAAAGTGAGCCAGATGCCCATGGCTCACATCTGTAATCAGTTTTTTTTGTTTTGTTTTTGCTTTGTTTTTGGGGTTTTTTTTTTTGCTAGTTGTGGGGCCTGAATTCTGGGGCTGGGTGCTGTCCCTCAGCTCTTCAGCTCAAGGCTAGCGCTCTACCACTTGAGCCACAGAGCCACTTCCAGCTTTTTCTGCTTATGTGGTACTGAAGAATCGAACCCAGGGTCTCAGGCATGCAAGGCAAGCACTCTACCACTGAGCCATCTTCCCACTCCTGTAATGTTTTTTTTAATATTTTTTATTATATTTAAGTAGTTGTACAAAGGAATTGCCATTCAACAAAGCAGGTTATGAGTTCAGTGCCTCGGGGTTTTGTTTTTTGTTGTTGTTGTTTTTTTTTGGTCATGGGGCTTGAGCTCCGAGCCTGAGCTCTGTCCTTCGGCTCAAGGTTCAAGGCTCAACCACTTTGAGCCACAGCACCACTTCCGGTTTTCTGGTGTTAATTGGAGAGAAGAGTCTCAAGGACTTTCCTGCCCAGGCTGGCTTTGAACCTTGCTCCTCGATCTCAGCCTCCTAAACAGCTAGGATTACAGGTGTCAGCCACTGGGCACCCGGCTCAGTGCCTTTCAGCATTCTCACCTACCTCTCCCAACTCACCTCTTCCCTCATTTTTCTCGATTTTTAGGTTATGTATTGACTTTTTGCCATTTAATAAAGTCGTTTATGTATACAGTTAATGTGTCTTGATTTGTGTCATATCATCAGTTTTCAGAAAACTGAACTCTGAGTATCACTGTTCCAAGGTAGCCTAGACAGGAAAATCTATGAGGCTGTTATCACCAAGTGACCACCAAAAAGTCAGAAGTGGACCTGTGGCTTACGTGGTAAAGAGCCACCCCTGAATACAAAACAGGCAACATCCAGGCCCTGAGTTCAAGCCCAGGACCGACACAAAAAATAAAATGAAAAGTGATCATGAAAATCACAATTTTAAACAACAAATAAATGTTTACACATTGAAAGTGTGTGGATAGACATATATCTATATGTATATAGAGAGTATGTAAAAATCAAGATTGAATATGAAAATAAGTAAAAGAAGGAAAAATATACAAATCAATGCTTTAACATGAATGCTTTAATATTAAATGAGTGAGTTCAATGTCTAAAGGCAGTGTTCCTCTCAGGGCTTCGTTTCCCTTCTGCCTTATCTGAACCAACCCATAAATTTGATGCAGTCTAAAATAAATGGGAAGGCAGACACTGGTGGCTCATACCTGTTATCCTAGCTACTCAGGAAGCTGAGCTCTGAAAACAGCAGTTCAAAGCCAGTCCAAAAGTCTGTGAGACTCTCATCTTCAATTAACTACACAAAAGAAGCTGGAAGTAGAGCCATGGTTCAGGTGATAGACTGCTAGCCTTGAACACAAAAGCTCCGGGACAGCACTCAGGCCCTGAGTTCAAGCCCCAGAACCAGCATAAAAGCATACATACATACATAAATGGCACCTAACTTTGCCAAGGGCTTACCATGCATGAACAAGCATCTGAGCATTTTATACATGCAGATTTGTTTTGGAAAAAATTGAGATAATTCACATAACATAAAAATGTTATATAATACAAAATGACCATTTAAAGTGTGTAGTTTTTTTTAAAGCATGCTCTCAAGGTTGTGCAACCATCACCACTATCCAATTCCAGAACATTCCATCACTTTAAGAGAAATCCTATACCCATTCATCATTCCCCATTCTCTTTTCCACCGTAGACCCTAGAAACCACTGATCTTTCTGTCTCTATGGATTTGCCTATTGTGGACATTCCATACAGATGAAATCATGAAGTATGTGGCCTTTTGTATCTGATTTCTGCCAGCATATTTTTCACAAGTCATCCACACAATACATATATTTTGTCTCTTTTTTTTTTTAACCAGTCCTGGGGCTTAAACTCAGGGCCCGAGCACTGTCCTCAAGCTTCTTTTTTGCTCAAGGTTAGCACACTACCACTTGACCCAGCACCACTTCTGTGCTTCTCTGTTTATGTGGTACTGAGGAATCAAACCCAGGGCTTCATGATCCTAAGCAAGCACTCTACCACCAAGCCCATTCCCAGCCCTTTGACTTTTTTTTTAAATTGCTGGGTAATATTCCATTGTATACTTCAAGAATATATGGCATTTTAGTTATATCCAGTTATCTAACAATAGACTTTGGGCGGGGGGGGCAGTTACTGGTTCATATGGCTATTAATGGTTCATAGGTTTAACTTTTGTGTGTGTGCCAGTATTGGACATTCTACCACTTGACGCTTTTGTTTTTATTCTGTCTTCAGGATAGGGTCTTGATAACTTTCCTGAGGCTAGCCTTGAATTCAACATCCTCCTGCCTCTACCTCCTGAAGACTGTGATTATGGGCATATACCACGATGCCTGACTAGTTTGATTATTTTTGTAACTCCTTTATTGTTTGTGACTGTTATTCTGAAAGGTCTGAGCTTCGTGGAGATGAGGTGTTTCCATGGCAACTTCTTCAATGATCAAAAGCTGAGCCCTGGCTGAGATGTAGCTCAGTGATAAAAC